TTTCGGACCATAGATCTCTTGATCCTCGGCATCCACATCACAGTCCAGGTCCAAGAGTGAGTCGGACTCTGGGACAGAAGAAACCACATCCATGGAGTTGCCGGAACCAGACACGGTGCGTTTGGCTCCGGTCAAATTGAAGTTCATAAAGAGGAAGGCAAGCACGACCACTTGGAACCGAGCCATGATAGAGCTTTTTAACAAAGAACGAGAGGGGGCTGAGAATGTCAAGCTTGAGAAACGGTCAGAGAAGAAGCAATGTTTTCGAATGAAATGTTCCAAGCACTGAAAAATGCTAAGGAATAAGCAAATCTATGTTGTGCCACTGACGTTCTATACGATGCACACTAGCTTGAATGAATGTAGTATCTTTTCTCAACTAAAAAGTATCTACAGTACTCCGTGCTCCCATCCTTTTGCATCTAAATCGCCAGGGACGAAAGTACATAATACGACATCGAATGAAATGTTCCTTCACGTTGCCGGAGTCACTGACTCGTCCCACGAATCGCATGCACAGTGTACAGTACTTCCACCCTTGCACTCCACAGGTGCACGTCACAGAACGGACGGCCCCATCCGTGCTTTGGGGCGGATGGGCCACGACAGAAGCAACCGCCGTGACATTCAGCATTGCAGAGGCAACCGCAGTGCGGATGGGTCAGTGCTTCAGTCACATGAAATAGTCATATATTAATATTGAAAGGCCTCCATCACCTCATCCCAGCCCAAGCCGCTCTCGGTCTCGGAGAAGACGCCCCTGTTCTCCGGGTTGCTGCCTGCAGCCAAAGCGAAACAAACGTGACAATGCCGCGATGCCCTCCAAATACGGACGCTTCGAGTAGAAACCACCAACTTGGATGACGCCATGCGGGGTTTTGTGATGTTTTGTGCGATTCACGCCCTGCCCTCCCCCCCAAACAAAACAAATTTATACAGTATGGAGTTGGTTTTTAAAAAAGTCTCTATAAGAATTGCTCTTCATCCTCGTATCGCGTCGTGTTCGCAAACGGGCTCCCCATCCTCCCCCCCTCCCCATCTGCGCGAGCTGTGACGCTCGCTTTCCGCCAAGCCGCCAAAGCCAGCAGCAAAGCGCAACACCATGACCGGGCAGGTTAGTGGCCACATCACTGCGCGATGTAACGTCGATCAAAGGAGGGGAGGTGAAAAAGGATTTAGATTTCAGCCCTTCAAAAATAAGGTGAGCCCGCGGACCCAAAAGCAAAAAGAAGCGTGCAACCCAGGAAAAATAGACAAACACACATTAGCAGGCCAAAACGAAGCATCAGCCCCCTCCAGGCTTCGTGGCAACCATGATATTTCAAGCATCGCGGCTCTGGTGCGCATCCGTCCACCCTCGTCTGCCATATACCCCCGTCGACCCCTTGGTCAGTTTTGAAAGCCCTCCAAAACGGTCATAAAACGATTGCAACATGGCTTCTAGCAACCCTTCCAGGAAGCGTGGAGCAGCATCAGCTCCCCCCATGCTTCGTTCCAACCATGAAATTTGAAGCATTGTGGTTCTGGCATGCAACCATCCTGCCGTTTCTGCAATGACTTGGGCTGTCTTCGGCATAGATTGCACACATTCTGGACACCCAACACCGTCATATAGGCCCATCCAGACAGTTCCACTCGCGAATAACGTTCTTCCGCGAGGCATGGAGTAGCATTAGCCCCCCATGCTTCGTTCTACTTAGCATCCATCTCCTTCCACAGCCCCGTCCGTCTGCCGTCTACCCTCCCATCTCCATCCATAGCCCCGTCCACGCCCATCTTCCGTCCACGAAAACACTTGCCTCGTCTCGCTCTGCCCCCCCCGACTAACGACTAAACTAAACGAGAACCAAACCATCGGAGATTCTTTGGGAAAAGCACACACATGTGTGCTGCTGTGCCAGCGCTACAGTGCATCACTCGCGGTGAAATGCTTTCGGGTCATTCGTCGTCTAATGTTTATTTTTTTGGCATAATTTCCGGCGGCGTGCATCGTTGGCATGATCAGGGCGTCGATATGGCGGAGATATCCCAGGAGGAGAGGATTTGTCGTTTGTTTTTCTCGAACAAACCTTTGTGGGCTTCGATCTTGAGAATTACTCCAGCATAGATGCTAGATCGAAATATCGTTGCAGTAAGAAGAAAACAAGACGGTTCCCTTTTTAGTCGGGTTGGATGTTGGATGTGTTATATGTATATATATATATACTATATACATCAAGTGGCTGTTTTCAATCTCTGCAGCTGGTCAATCCCCATTGCAACGTGGCTTCTGACAACCGTTCCAGGAAGCATGGAGCAGCATCAGCCCCCTCCATGCTTTGTTCCAACCATCAAATTTCAAGCATTGCGGTTCTGGCGTGCAACAACCCTGCCGTTTCGGTCTGGCGCATGCATTGTGCACATTTTGGACACCCAAGACCATCATATAAGCCCTGCAACACAGCTCCCCTCCCGTCAGAACGTGCTTCACTTCCGCGAAGCATGGAGCAGAACTACCCCCACCCATGCTTCGTTCTACTTGTGAACTGACCCGGGGCAGCCTGCAATGATGTTTGTGGTGCAAGACGGGAAGTGCGTGAATGTGGGCGGCGCGAGACGGGAGGTGCATATGGGTGTGGCGTGGACAGGGCCTGCAGAGGGAAGGTGCTAATTGGAACGAAGCATGGAGGGGGCCAATGCTGCTCCATGCTTCGCGGCAGAATTTCGTTGTGCAAGTGGAGCGATCTTGCGCGGCTGATATGCTAGTTACGAGGACATGGTTGCACTGCCTTCCTGCCCCAGCTCCGTCCACGCCCATGTTCCCTCCCCACCCCGTCCCCACCCATGTACCTCTTCCCTCCCCACCCATGCGCCTCCCGTCTCGCTCCCCTCCATCTTCCCTCCCCAACCCCGTCCCCAACCATGCGCCTCCCGTCTCGCTCCCCTCCCTTCCTTCCCCTCCCTCTTCCCTTCCCAACCCCGTCCACCTCCACATCCATCTTCCGTCCCCGACAACACACGCTTATTTGTCTCGCTCTTCTGCGGCACTAGCGACTAAACGAGAACCCAAGCATCGGAGATGCTTTTCGGAAAAATCAATAGGCGCAGGGGGTGCATGGCCTTAAGGACCTTCAAGGCAAAAAGTCCATGAAAACAACGGCACCAGAATTGAAATGTTGAATGTTCCCGACTCCCTAAACAGGCCCAACAGGATCTGTTTAAAAGCCAGCAATCAAAAACAATACTATTAGCTTATATATCACAATATATATATATATAAATGCCAACTGAAGGTTGCGTTAGTGATAGATGCTCACTCCTCACATATTATGAGCTATACAACTTGTTGATAAGACTGGTCTCATTGACTCAGATTTGACTCAGGCTACTTGGGTGGCTTTTCAAAGCCAGAAGTGAAACCGCTTCCGTCTGAGTAACCAAATGCAACAGCTGTTGTGCCCAGGGCACATTCTGAGCTTTCCCACAGTTTCAAGACTCTCAGTGGTCAATAGGTCACAGTTCCGGTCTGGCTCCCTCTTTTGTAGCACCAGGATGCATTTTTTCAAGACCTGTGCCATCCCCAAAGGGTCAAAACTCATGCACCGAGTGGAGAGCTGGGCACCCGCACATTGCTGAACCATGGTGAACTCCTTGTGGACACCCACTGAAAGCTCCCCGAAACTCAACAGGCAGAGAAACAAAGCGAAGGCTCCGCCCGTGGCCAAGTAAATGACGCGAGCAATGATCGAGATCAAAAGAGATGTCCTGGGCCCGTTAATTTTAGTGGGGATCCAAGAATAAGATAGCAATGGGCCCTCAAAAGAATCTTTGCCCCACGGATCATTGTCTAGAACCAAAACAGTTCAGACCAAGACTTGGCAAACAGTTGGACCAGCTAAGGTGCCCCCAAACAGTCAAAGAAAGAATTGAATTTGGTTTGCCAAAACCTGAGTTGCATCCCGAACCAGAAGCCCTGCAGCTGCTGTTCATTGGCTTGGCTGAGTTCCATGAGAGAACCCGGCAATGTCTCATTCGCCTGGACGTTGCCGGCTCGTCCGCTGCGGAAGACGCTCGGATCACAGAGCTGGTGTCTCTTCACATGGCGGTGGTTTGAAACCACCCGAGAGGCGCTCCACCCCAACAAACAGAATGGACACCACCAACGGTAGGTCAACCCACTGTGGCTTTCAGAGTTACACCACAGCCACCATATATCAACAAACCATGTCCCCGAATGTCTGGCCTCCAGCGCCATCAAAGATGCAGCCTTATCGGCCTTTTGAAGGATCTTCTCAATGGCCTCGACGGAAAAATCACGCTGTCCAGCACAACCGGTGGCTTCGGCTTCGGCCCGATCTGGTGGTCCTTTGGTCCTCTTAGTTATTGGAGAATCGCTGTTCTTTTTGGTCTGCAACGGTCCAGATCCTTCCGCTTCAAAAGCATTTCACACAAAACAAACCAGGGTCAGGATGGCCGGCAGGTCCAAGCAAAAAAGAGCCTCTTCTTCTTGAGTGAGAAGCTCATCAGAGAGCTTCTCAACTCCTTCAGTTTGGATCTTCTTCGCAACGCTGTCAGCCTGCTCTGCCGTCATAATGCCCTTGGAGGCCTAGAGGCGCGCAGTCTTGTGCTGCGCTACAAGTCTGACGAATGGATGTTTCTCTTTGATCAAGATGTCTGACTGAAGTCAAGTGGTTCAGCCACCTTGATATCCCAGGTTGTGGTCCCTGATGGGTTCGGTTCTGTTACTTGGAGACGCCATGTCCAAAGCTCTGGGGATCCGTCTGTTCTTTTGTTGCCTAGCAATTATAGAATAATTAAGCTAAAAAAAGAAATAACACTAGCTTCTTGTTACTACTAGTAAGGCACCTGTTACTACTAGCGTGGCACCTGTTACTACTAGTAATAGAATTAAGTACCTCTGTCAGCGAAGAGTCTGTCGGCAAATACCTTTCTTGATCTTTCTTGCAACAACTGGAACGACAGGACCAGTCGGACGCGTTCGGAGGAACTGGATTCGCAGGAACGGTCCGATCGCGCTGAGCTCATTCGAGTCTTTGGTAGTGGAAATATGTGGAACTACACCCACACCAACACCCATCAGCCCGCCCAACCCGACCTGACCAGCTAACTTCGTGCAAGTCTCTTCCACATGCAAAAGTCCCAGTGCGTTTTCGGTCTATGGCGGTATGTGGATCTTTGATCCTCTTGAACAATCTTTGATGCTTGGTCTCACCTCCCACCTGGCTCCCAACAGCTCTTAAGTACCAGCATGTCGCAGCTCGCCTTCTCCACCACCTTCTTCAGGTCCTTCTCACTCAGCGATTTCGCCAGCTTCGCGTCCCCTTCGTTGGGCTCCTCGCAGATCCGTGCGAAGGTCTTGCGCTGCAGGACCTCCTTCGTTGCCTCGGACGCTGCTACAGCCAAGCCCAAGAGCTACAGCCAAGCCGTCTGAAAAAGAAGGTCTGAAGGTCGTTCGGTAGCGATTTCGCTGTCAAATGACCCACCCCCCACTTGGCCTTCTCCTGCTTCTTCGCTTTAGACGCGCCCACCT